TACAAGACTCGAGTGGAACATGAAGAGGTAAACAAGAAAGAGAAAATTATAAGAGACTCATTAAGGTTGAACTGTTTACATTCCTGCATGGAAAGATGATATTTGTAACTCATGAGACCTTTGTCAGTGTTAGGGTAGTTGGAGGGGAAAAATTATATGTATGTATATATAGATATAGATAGATAGATAGTGGGCACAGGGTGAGTTGAAAATGAAGGGGTCATATCTGGAGAATAAAATTAAGGGGTGAGAGAGGAATATACTAGGAGAAGGAGAAAGGGAGAGGTAGAATGGGGTAAATTATCCCACAAAAAAAGACCTCCAAGGAGGGAAACCCATCACCATGAAAACTGTTGCCTAAAGCAGGGATAGTCTATCTCAAGAAGAATGGGCTGGGGTGAGCCTCTAGTACAAAGCCATCTGCGAGTCTACACAGAGGTGGCAGAATTGAGCTCCACTTGGAAAGAGCACTATTGACATTTTCTTTCTTTAGCAGCTCACAGAGTATATTTTATACCCTTCTGTGATGGAGCCTGGTTGCTTTGAGTTGAGTGTGTAATTTTCAGTCCTTCAATTGTGTAACATAATTAAAAAAATCAACTCTGGTTCTACTTTTAATTATCTCTAAAAATATAGGTTTATAGGGGTGTCTACACTGCCCAGAAGTATCAGGATGTTAGTGGAAAGGAAAAGTCAAAATTAATATAACATGTTTTAGGGCATAAGATCATATATTCAGAGCTGGAAGGAATCCTAGAGGTCATCTAGTCCAATTCCTTCATTTTACAGATGAGGTAATTGAGGCTTATAAAGGTTCAATGACTCTCCCAGCATCACACAGCTAGTGTCAGTGGCAGTTTTTGAATTCTGACCTTCCTGGCTCAAGGTCCAGCACTGCCCACCATGGGATGCTGCTTCTCCAGATACAGACACATATTTTGAAGGTGACTGAAGAGGGACACTTCATCAATTTCCTGATCTTTATTATGGAAATATTAGGGGGGGAAAAGGCTCAGCATCATCTAGCCTCAAATACTGATTTTTCCTAATGATGAAAGTGAAGGGAGCCAGCATGGTGTAGCAAAGAGAGCACTGGAGCTCTGGGTCCAAATCTTTCTTTATCCACCTGCCAAGTCTGTGACCAACCTCCCTGGGCCTCAGTTTTCACATCTGTAAAATGAGGGGATTGGACTCACCATTGTCCAATGTGCCTTCCAGCTCTCTCTCTACGATTTTTGAGTCTACGAGTCAAGAGAATTAAAATTATTGGGCTAGGTTCACACAGGTAAATTACAGGGCTGGTCTCTTGATTTCCAGTCTAATCTTCTTACCCCAGCCTCATGCTATAATACTATGATGCTTGACTCATCCATCGTCTGTTTAATCTCCACTCCTACATCTCCTTGGGCCATTTTATAATTAGCAAACAGTGTGTTTTATTGTGGATAGAGATGGACCCTGCAGCCAGGAAAACTCAACTTTTGAGTCCTGCCTCTGACACTGACAGCCTGTGTGACCCTGGGTAAATCACTTAACCTCTCAGTGCTTTAGGAAGCTCTGTAAGATTAAAAGTTACAGACAAGATGCAGGGTCTTGGTAGAAGGAGTGCCCTTATCTGGGAATTCTTTATGCCAAGGAAACTGTAGGACCAGTCTCTATCCTTAAGTTTACTTTTTCTCCTTTTGGGAATTCCTGTCTTCGGTTTTAGACTAAAAGCTCTTGACTGGCAGGCAACTTTACTCTATGTCTCCAAAACAGCCATGACCCATGATGTTTTATTCCACTTTATTGTGTAAGTAGCTTGCTTGTATATAGTTATTTGCATATTGTCTCTCCCCATTAGATTATGAGGTCCTCTAAGGCAGAAACTGTCTTTTACCTTTTTTTTGTACTCCCAGTTCAGTGCCAGGTACACAGTTGGTGCTTAATAAATGCTTATTGACTATTCCTCAAATTATTTACTGGTTTAAAAAAACCTCAAAGTGCAAAAATCAGGTTCTTCCTTGATAAAGAAGCCAATTCTATCCTAGCCTTTGGGACAATTCATTTCAATAAATACTTACTAAGCACCTGCTTATGTGCCAAACACTGTGTTGCACGTTGGGAATACAAAGACAACATGGAAATAGCCCCAGCCTTCAAAGGCCTTGGATGCTATGGGAGATACTATAAAGAAATAGATAAGTAATGATGAAGTAGTTTGAGGAGAGAGAAAATGACAGCAACCAGTGAGATCAGGGAAGGTTTCTGAGAAGAAGTGGCACCTGAGTTAAGCCTTGGTGCCTATTACTGCATGTCCTTTGGCAAGTGACCTGACCAACTCCCTAGGGCTCGGCTTGCTCATCCGTAAGATGAAAGGCTCGGACTAAATAACATCCGAGGTCTTTTTCAGCTCTAAATCTATGATCTGTGAAGGAAGCTGAGGATTCTAAGAGGCAGCAGAGTGTAGGGAGAAGATCTGGGTTTGGGGGTGGATGGTGGAGCACAGATGGTGCAAATACACAGGCTATGATGTGGGATGCCAAGTCGAAGGAATAACACATAGACCGGGTTGTCTGGGAGTTTTCATCCATCACCCCTCACCCTTAAGGAAAAGGGTCTAAGACCTCAACTAGTGCTAGAAATGTAGTGAAATTGGGGCATCCTCTTGGTACTTTGGCTTCTGTTGCTTGGTGAAATGTGCTTTTATAAAAATTGATGTTTCCAACAGCCTTTAGGGAAAAACCACTCGCTATGCAGTGTGAGAAGATACATGGTGAACCATTACACTGTTAACAACAGGACGTGGTCAGAAGACATAGGAAATGATACTAAAGTCACTTTTCCATGGACTGAACTAGCACATACAGTCACTGTTGTGGCTGTAAATTCAATTGGCCCTTCTGTGATGAATTTTAATCTAACTTTCTCATGGCAGATGAGCACAGGTAAGAGCGCTAGCTTGTTGCAATAAATTTTTTTCTTTTCCTTTTAAAGTATTTATTGATGTTCTATTTTTAATATCCATGCTTCCTAATAATTAACTCCAATAACTAAATCATAGAACCAGTCCCTATCTTTGGATACAGGGTGTCCCAAAAGCCTTAGTGCGGTTTTGAACTACAGTTGTTTTAAACTGCACTAATACATGCATACACATACATACATACATATACATACATACATTCATACACACATATGTTTCATTTTGCTCCTTTGGGAGATTCTTGTCTTTAGTTTTAGACCAAAAGCTCCCCTCGACTTGCAGAGACCTTGTGAACTCTACTCTGTGTCTCCAAAATAGTCTTGTGAACGCTACTCTGTCTCTGAAACACCCAGTTTCCAATAGAACCCTCTCACAGGCACACAAAATAATGATTATAGCCGAGCAAATGTTCAAACGGCATTTCTCATTCCACATCTGTAGTCCCTCACCTCCCCGCTGAGAGGCAGGAGGCATATTTGGCCGTCAGTCCTCTGGAGTCCCCCTTGGTCACAGCATTGATTAGAGTTCTCAAGTCTTTCAGTCTTTGCTTCATTGTGGACATTGGTGTCCAACTCTGCCCCTTCAAAGCAGGGGTTCATCCTTGGACACGTTAGTAACACATGGTTGGTAACCCATTCTCTGGGTGCCAGGAAATCTGTACTTGGATCTCTGATAAGTGGAAGTCTTCAGGTTAAGAATCCTAAACACAATTCTATTCTGCACAGTTTTGATAGGTCTTCTTATTATTCCAAATTTTATATGTGACCAACTAGAAAACATGTACAATATTTGTCTTTTAGCTAGAGCTATGCTTCCTCTTGCAGCTCATATGTAATATTACAAAGAATTATATACAATGTTTTTCCTTCTTTTTTTCCCCTCCAGTAAATAGTGTACAGTCCCTCAGTGCTCATGCAATAAATAGCAGCTGTGTGGTTCTTTCCTGGATGGTAATACCTACAGAATATACTCTAATGTATTTTGTTATTGAATGGAAAAACCTCGATGAAGAGAATGGAATTAAATGGATTAGAGTATCTTTGAACGTTAAGAAATATTATATCCATGGTGAGTTTGAAATATGCTTAAAGTAGTATAGGAATGTGAGTGCTATTATTACCAGTAATAATTGAGAAGTGTGTTATATTTCTTTGCTGGAATAGAATACTAGGATAATGAGCATTGGTTGTGAGTTGGGAGGCCTGGGAGGCTATTCCAAGATCTACCACATAAAATAGCTGTTTTGTAATGCTTGCAGAAATCTCTTGACTTCTTTGAGCTTCATTTTACTCATGTGTAGGATGAGAAAAGTAATTGTATTACCATCCTCCTAGGGCGGTTGTCATGACGAAACAATGGAGAAGACTCAGGATGGACAGATTAGCTATCTTTAGCTATCTTTGTCTTTGATGAGCTCAGAAGGCAGATTCAGGACCCATAGATGGAGGCTGCAAAAAGGCATATTTAAACTTGGTTTAAAGAGAATTTTGAACCAGCTACCTCAGGAAGAGATAGGTTCTCTTCTATTGGAGAGCTTCAAGTAAATCACATGATGGGTTTGTCATAACAAGTATTCCTTGGCGGTAGAGATTGGAGAAGGGAACTGAGGTCCTTCTCAACTAGAGAAATTTAGTGATTCTTTGAAATCACTAAGGGTGACCCCTCAAGTTTGAGCTTAAAACTTCACTAAGACTTTTGGGACATTGCGTGTTTTTTATAGACACACATGTATGTGTGTGTGTGTGTGTGTGTGTGTGTGTGTGTGTGTGTAATATATATATTATACACACATATAGCATGCCATAACTGGGCTTTTTTTTATCCTGAGTTCACATATTCATACAATTCTAAATCCTAATTAGAATATTTTCATTCAGAGATTAAATTTTATATTTTTATGGAGTTTCACTTATTTATGTAAAGTATGCAAATGATGTGACATCACACAGATTATGAGATTACAGACTTGGAGCTGAGAGGGAGGTTGGTGGTGATCTGGTATAAGACCCTTATGTTACAGATTGGAAAACTAATTCCCTGAGGCAGCCAAGTAGTTAGTGGATAGAGTGCTGGACTGGAACCAGGAAGACCTGAATTCCAATCCATCTTCAGAAACTTACTAGGTGGATGACCCTGGGAAAGTTAAGTTAGATCTGCCTCAGTTTCCACATCTGTAAAATGGGAATAATAATACCTACCTCATGAGGGTATTGTCAGATGGGATAATATATGTAAAGTGCTTCATAGTATATACATGTTAATCACTACTACGATTAGTGGTAGTAATTATTACTACTATTATTAAGTGACTTGACCAAGTTCACATAAGTAGTTATTGACAGACCTGGGAATCACTCCTTTCCCTCTAGTGCTCTGTACCACTGTGTAATTTTGAAAATGCCCAACCAACATATTGAATAAGTTGACTTAGGAAATGATAGCAAAATAATGCTGCTGCTGCTGCTGCTACTGCTGATGATATCTAACATTCATATAGCCCTACTATGTGCCAGGCACCGTGCTAAGCACTGTGCAATTATTAACCTATTGGGTCCTCACAACAACACTTGGAAGTAGGGGCTATTATGATCCTAACTGCAATATAGTGAATTTTAAAATGATCAGAATATGTCATGGAGTATTCACAGATAGACAGTTGATAAAGGGAATATGGAAGCCAGTAAGATCACAGTTATATAAATAATAACTAGCATTTACAGTGTCCTTTAAGGTTTCAAAGCACTTTACAATTATCTCATTTGATCTTTGTGACAACTCAGGGAGAGAGGTGTTATTATTATCCCTAATTTATAGATAAGGGAACTGAGGCAGGCAGAGGTTAGATGACTTGCCCAGGGTCACACAGCTCATAAAAGTCTAAAGCTAGATTTGAACTCATCTTCCTGATTCTAGGTCTTGCAGTCTATCCACTGCCCTATTGAGATTTCTATTATAACAATAAGACTTTTTCAAACAATTTAAAACAAAAATTATTTATGGCTTTTTTTTCTTCCAACTACGGAGTTGTTCTTCAAAGGAGAGTAATAATTATCAGTTAATTACTTCTCCATAAGCTTATACAAATGCCCACAGAATGGTTTTGTGTGTATGAGGCACCCAGGCATTATGTTGACCCCTCTGACAGAGAGGTGAGCTGACGTTGGAGTTGCACAGCAGAGGCAGCCATTGGATGGGCTATGACCTGAATCATTGGAGGGAGTGCTTCCACTCATGAGATCACAAATCCACTTTAATGCTTGAGAACTTGAATTCTTCTAGTTAACTAATACCTGAAGCATGGACTGTAAAACTTCAATATGCTAGTAGTGGGGCAGTCTTTGTTTGAACACCTTCCAAGACTTGCTATTCAGGAAACATCCCCTTCTATTTTGGGATGGCTTCAATTGTTAGGACATTCTCCCTTATATTAAGCCCAAATAGGTTTTCATATACTTTACAGACTGTAATCCATCCTATGTCTCCTTTCTAGAGCCAAGCAGAGTAACTCTGATCACTCTTTGCTGTGATATCCTCTCAAATACTTGAAGAAAACAATCATGTCCCACCCAAGAGTCTTCCCTGTGCTAAACATTCCCAGTTCCTTTATCCAAGAAAAAGTAATCTGATCTTTACATGATACAGGTTGCATGGGGGAGAAAACTGGGAAATGGTTTGTTTGGCTTGAAATGAACCCCCAGAACATTGGACTCAGCCATATATGTCTAAGAAGAAAAACACATTCCAAATCCACATATCAGTGATTTTTGGTTCTCTGCCATGTTGGACTGACTATAGACATAATGTCTGAGAGAACCTCTCTGCTGTTATTGCCATCAGCACTCAGAGATTAAGCCCAAAGCAAGAGATAGAGATAGAGTCCTTCAAATGATGAAGGAATGCTAGATTTTATAGGAATGTTCAGTTATACAAGTTCCTTGATTAGTTCAATACACATTAATTTCTAAGCTCTGTTTTCTTTTCAGACCATTTCATCCCAATTGAAAAATACCAGTTCAGCCTTTACCCAGTGTTTCTGGAGGGTGTAGGGAAACCTATGATGACTAATACATTCACCAGAGGTAAATTCTATACTTTTTGCTTTTACTTATTTTTTAAAAAGAATGAAATGATGATGATGATGATGATGATGATAGCTTTTATATAGAGCTTTAAGGTTTACAAAACCCTTTGCTTATCTTATTTCACTCAGTCCTTTTAACAGCCTTGAAGGGTAGGTGCTATTCTTTTGCCTAGTTTACATATGAGGAGGCTGAAACTTCACTGAGTTTAAGTGACTTTATTTTGGTCACACACCTAATAAGTGTCTAAAGTAGGATTTGAACTCAAGTCTTCCTGACCCCTCTTAAGTGTGGCTCTTTTTTCTTTTAGAGAAGAAATTAGTAATATTTTTCATCCAGATAAAGGTTCTAGGTCCTGTTTGGCAACATCATGGGGCCTCTTTCCAGATCCATTGTAGTATCCAAAAAAGTAGCAAGGCTCCTTACTCCTGGTACATTGTAGAATGTGACTTTCTTTTCTTTTAAACATTTATTTATTGTTTTCAATATTCATTTTTATAAGATTTTATAAGATTTTAAACTTTCTCCCTCTCCTTCCACCCCTTCCCTGAGATTGTGTGCAATCTTATATAGGCTGTACATGTACAATCATATTAAACATATTTCCACATTAGTCATGTTGTAAGGCAGAATTAGAATTAAAGGGGAAAACTGCAAGAAAGAAAAAAAACAACAAAAAACAACAAAAAAGGAAAAATAGTATGCTTTGATCTGCATTCAGACTCCATAGTTCTTTCTCTGGATGTGGATAACATTTTCTATCATGATGAGTCTTTTGGAATTGTCTTAGATCATTGCATTACTAAGAAGAGCTAAGTCTATCAAAGCTGGTCATTGCACAATGTTGCTATTACTGTGTACAATGTTTTCTTGGTTCTGCTCACTTCATTCTGCATCAGTTCATGCAAGTCTCCAAGTTTTTCTGAAGTCCATCTGCTCATCATTTCTTATGGAACAATAGTATTCCATTACATTCCTATACCACAACTTGTACAGCCATTCCCCAGTTGATGGGCATCCCCTTAATTTCAATTCTTGACCACCACAAAAAGAACTGCTATAAATATTTTTGTACATGTAGGTCCTTTTCCCATTTTTATGACCTTTTTGGGATGGAGACCTAGAAGTAGTATTACTGGATCAAAGAGCATGCACAGTTTTATAGCCCTTTGGCCATAGTTCCAAATTGCTCTCAAGAATGGTTGGATCAATTCACAACTCCACCAATAATGCATTACAATTCCAGTTTTCCCACATCTTCTCCAACATTTATCATTTTCCTGTTTTGTCATGTTAGCCAATCTGATAGGTGTGATGTGGTATCTTGGAGTTGTTTTAATTTGCATTTCTCTAATCAATAGTGATTTAGAGCATTTTTATATGACTATCTATAGTTTTAATTTCTTCATCTGAAAACGGCATTCATATTCTTTGACCATTTATCAATTAGGGAATGACTTGCATTCTTATAAATTTGACTCAGTTCTCTATATATTTTGGAAATGAGGTCTTAATTAGAGACACTGGCTGAAAAAAAATGTTTCTCAGCTTTCTGCTTCCCTTCTAATCTTGGTTGCATTGGCTTTGTTTGTGTAAAACTTTTTAATTTAATGTAATCAAAATGATCAATTTTGCATTTCATATTGTTCTCTGTCTCTTGTTTGGTCATAAATTCTTCCATTTTCCATAGGTTTGACAGGTAAACTATTCCTTGCTCTCTTAATTTACTTATAGTCTCACTCTTTATGTCTAAATCATGTACCCATTTTCATTTTTTTCTTGGTATATGATATAAGATGTTGGTCTATGCCTAGTTTCTGCCATACTATTTTCCAGTTTTCCCAGCAATTTTTGTCAAATAGTGAGTTTTTATTCCAGAAGCTGGAGTCTTTGGGTTTATTAAAAGGTAGATTACTATAGTCATTGACAATTGTGTCTTGTGTATCTAACCTATTCCACTGATCTACCACTCTATTTCTTAACCAGTAGTTGTAGAATGTGACTTTCAGTGATAGCTTAGATTGAATGATAACAAAAATAAGGAAGATCTGAGACAAAGGGAAGCATTTATTCTGGCAGTACTTCAAAGATCTATGATTTCAACTGGTGCAAATACTTCCCTTCATCTGCCAATTGAAGTCCCTCTGTACCTTAGAAGTCAATGAGTAATCAAGCATTTACTACATGCTTACCATGTGCCAGGTACCGTGATAATCACTGGGGATATAAAGAAAAAAAAACAGCACATAATATTCAATTAATCTAGAAATCAGCAAGCAATTATTAGGCACCTACTGTGATACAGGCACTGTGCTAACTACTGAAAATACCAACAAAAAGTGAGAGAAAAAGTTCCTGCCCTCAGGAGGCTTGTATTCAGTTTTTGAAAATTCAGATAAAATGTAAATTACATTCTTGCGCTAGACAACACTTGTTTATTTGTATAATTATACATATCACACATTTTGTTTCTCATTTATTTGGCATTTGTATTTTGAAAATTGTAATGATCTTGAACCAAAATGTGACACCCGATGGCTCCTGCCTTGTTGGTACAGACAACCATGGCCATTGCTTCAGGGTTCTTAACTGTGTGAAATGGATTTCTTTTCAGAAGACACCGTGAAGCAGGAGAATGATCCAGGTCTCTATGTAATCATTCCTATAATTGTTTTCTCTTCAGTCTTATTGCTTGGAACCTTGTTAATATCACATCAAAGGTATGGTGCTGTATGTGGGGCATTTTACTCATCCTTTTTTATGGAATAGCTTCATAATGGCACAGGACTTTACATACATCATCTCATCTGAGCCTCTTAAAAACCCTGAGAGGTCAGTGCTGTTACTCTGTCAAGTGATTGCATTTATAATTGGAGGCCAGCACTGCTCATTCCAAACCACATAGGCTCCATGGCTGTTTTGGCAGCTAAGCAGGCCTGATTTCCCTGCAGAGTTCCCAAGTTCTCAGTGCTCCATGTACTGGGTGGCTAGGACCCTGGAGAGCATCCTGCATATTCCAAACCCACAGTCTCCAAAAAACGGGTGGAGTCTGGCATTTGAAAGCATCTTTCCTTGCCATGGAGCAGCTAGGGCAGATAGAAACTACCAGATTGATGTTTCAAATGGAATTATTTTGAAAACCCACTTTTTGGGCTTTTGTGAGATGTGCGTGTTCTCCATTTATGGTAGCCTGGATCCACTGGCTGGAGGAAGAAAGGGGGCTTGCTACTATAGTTGCCCCAAAAGTGAACATGCCATTTGCGTGTGGTGATATTTTTTACCACAGGATCAGGGCAAGGGGTCTAATATTCTAGTTCATGCTTTGGTTGCTCACATTTTCCATGTGCTTCTTTGGTTAGACCAAATCAATGTGCTTTGAAATCTCCCTTTCAGAATGAAGAAGCTGTTTTGGGAAGATGTTCCAAACCCTAAGAATTGTTCCTGGGCACAAGGAGTAAACTTTCACAAGGTCTCTTTTTCTGTCTTCATTACAAAGCAAAACTGTTCTCACTGGCTTCCATTTTTATTAGTCCTCTAGTCTTTGAATTTCTGACTTTGTTTGAAATTTTTCCTAATCCAGGATGAGTCTACAGGGGTCTTCAGATATGGGAATTTCAATCAGGCAAGGAACCAAATTCTCTAGGTATTTTGGCTGATGACATTTGAAAAGACCCCTCAATTCCATGTCATAATGATGGTGAGAGGATCCCAATTTGCTCGTGGAGAATTCCACAGAATTCCTAATGTAGAAATTGGAGAAACAGATGGGGGAGAGAGAGAGAGAGAGAGAGAGAGAGAGAGAGAGAGAGAGAGAGAGAGAGAGAAAGAGACAGACAGAGACACACAGACACACAGAGACAAACACACAGAGACAGACAGAGACAAGAGAGACAAAGAGGAGGGAGGAAGGGAAAGAGAGAAAGAGGGAGAAAGAGTAGGCATGGGGGACATTGTGGATCAAATAACAAGCTAGATTCAAACATAATGAAACCTTAACTTTTTCCCCTGTTTATTAAAAAAATCAGATTTATTTTGTTACAATCTCCTCAGTAATACCAATCACCTGCTTTTGTGATCTCCCAAACACAATAAAATTGGTTACCCTGGGGAAAGGCATGTCAGTTTCCACCTCACTTTATGTTCCTAGAAAGATGAATTGCCATCCAGATAACCCAGGGCACTTGCTATTTAGGGCCCTCTTTTCTGCAGGCATTTGTGAATCTATGTTGTAGGGGGAGGACCACAGTGAAGCGTGGTCACTTACTTCCAAATTTGTGTCATTTTATTCCTGTCAATAAATTTTTGTTCAAGTGCTATATGTAAGGAATCCAAAGACTTAAAAGCAAACCAACTCTTGGCCTCAAGGAGCTTCTAGTCTACCAGGGTGGTCACCCCACCTATACACAAATATGTTGAGATGGAAGACAAGAGAGAGAGAGACAGAGACAGAGAGACAGAGAGAGAGAGAGACAGAAAGACAGACTGAGAGACAGAGAGAGAGACACAGAGAGAGAGAGAGCACCACCCAGAGGGAGCCCAGGAAGGTGTCATAAAGGAGGGAGCATCTCCTGAACAGAGCCTGGAAGGAACATAAAGATGTGGAGAGCTGGGGATGAGAAAGTAGTCTATTCCAGATATGGGAAAGGGCATAAGGAAATACAGGGAGGCAAGAGATATAGAGATGTAGTAGCCTAGCTGAGTGACTAGAGCATTGGCCTTAGAGACAGGAAGATCTGAATTCAAATTCCACTTGGGCTACTTTCTAGTAGTATAACACTGGGCAAGCATCTCTTGGAGCCCATTTCCTATCTATAAAATGAGAGAGTCAGACTAGACTGCCCCTTCATTCTAATTCTCCAAGTCTTACTTTTGAGGACAGGCTGGTCATTGGACTGGAAGGAAGAGTGAGTGACATTAATTCAGTTCTGCAAGCTCATAAGTCCATGCCTACCATGTGCCAGTCACCATGCCAGGCACTAGCAAAGACTCAACAAGCATCACCCCCTGCTGTTGTGTAACATATGTTTTCCTGTTTAATTCTATTAACTGGAATATGGGAGGGAACATTTAAAGACTCCTTAGCCTTATGTGAATTTATTAATTTCCTGCCTTCTCACTTTCTTTATGATACCTTTAAATTTTTTTCACTTTTTCTTTATTTTATTTTACTATTAGAATGTAAGATACTAGAAAGTAAGATACTTATGATTTTCCTTCATGAATAAATTATTTCTTTGCAAGCATGGAACACAAATAGCATTTGAATATTAATGGGAATGTACATTCCAGCCATTTTAGGGCCACGATTCCTACTTGTATGTTAATCCTAAGATAATTTTCTGCATGAAAGCAGAAATCTTAGGGAAAAGCAGGCACTATTTCTACTTTATATTTGTATTTCAGTACCAGGTGTGTATTAAATGCTTTGCAAATGCTTTTCAAACCTTCATACATTCATTTTTTTTCTTTTTTACTTTTACTGCTTCTGTATTGACTATTTCCTCCTTCCTTTTCTATTTATTATTGTCTATCCTACCATTTTTTTCTTAATTTTTTTTTTGAGTTGGCAGACTTCATCAGGGTATATAGTGTTTAGGCCACTTCCACCTTCAGATGAGCTAAGGCACCCATTTAAATAAGAGGGACCTTCTTGCCTGCATCTCAACACACTTTTTCCTTCTTGTAAAAGAGGGACTGTGGACCTGCTGGAATCCTATTAGAAGATGCATCCCAGAAGCCATAACTGATAAACAAGAGAAATACTTGAAAGTTTCAGCCTTTTCATTTCTAATCTGAATGAATTTTTTTCTTTTCATTTTTTTTTTATTTTATCAGAGAGTGGACGTTCTTTGAAGTCTAATCTTGATCACTACCAGCTGAACCCACTGAGCCAGTTCCCCAGCCTTTCTTTAAAGAGCTGTTAGAAAATGTTTGTTATTGACATTCAGAAGAAAGGAAGCAGTTCTATTTAGAAAATATACATGGACTGCATGGTTCAAAATTAAGTGATCATGTAAGCATATGGAGGTTATAAATTAAGACAGAAGTATGAAATCTGGCCAGAGTCCTGCTGGGTTTTCTTTGCATGAAGGAAGCACACATATTCTCTGCTAACTCAGACCTGGGTTTAACTGCACGGGTTTTATATTTGCATAACTGTCCCAATTAGGACGACATCACATGTCAGTGTTATTGTCAAATATCTCTCAAATATTTTAGATGACGTATCTGTGTATGGTAAAATACCAGAGGAAACTAAATATTTCAGTTGCTGTCAAAGCAATTTTGCATGAGTCTCTGAAATATAGAAAGAGAATGTGTTTGTATCCATTCCCAGGGAACCCTTACCTTAATCTCACAAAGAAAATTGGCTCATTTTAAAACAAATTCTTTTAGACAAATGCAAGGTGGCTTTCAGGTTGTGTCTACACAAGGCTATACTCGAAAGCAGAATTTCTGGCATCCTTACTGAATGTATAACTTCGAATTCAGAGTGAAAGCAGAAAGAAAGGGTTGACTCCAGTGAAAGTCAATAGAAGATAAGTCCCTTGAGGGCAGGCTCTAATTTTTTTTGTTTGTTTTTGAATCCCTGAAACCTCACACAGTGCTCAGTTCTTAGTAGAAGCTTAATAAATGCCAGTTAAAATTCCAGTTAACAGCAAAATGTCCAAGTGACATAGACTAGCCTCACTCATCGAAAGTGTAACTTTTGTTTCAAGTTTAATCTTTTTTATTTTGTACTATCACTTCTTAAATCCTCATAACCATTCCCCCCCATAACTGAGTGAATAAATCAATCCATTCTTCAATCCACAAACAGTAATTAAACACCTACTTTGTGCCAGAAATTGTGACTCTCTACTTTTGCAATTCAGCAAAAGTGAACAGAGATGCAAGTGAGGTATGATATATTAGAACAGTCTAAGATGTCACATAGCCTTTTATATCAAAGCTTCTATTCGTAAATTGAAATAATCACTGAAATGACAATCTTATAGACATGCACACACACACATACACACACACACACACATACACACACAATTACTCCCAATCAAGCAAAGACCACATCAACACAAATGTCTCTTTTGTAATTTAAATCATACCAATTGAACAAGCATTTATTAACTACCTACTGTATGCCAAGCACTGTGCTAGGCCCTGGAATACGAAGACAAAAAACAAGCCTCCTCTGTAAAGCTGGCTTCTTTAGCTTCCTGCCAATAGACTTTTTTTCATTAAACACTAACAGACTTCCTGGAGATGCTTGACTCATGCACCAAAGCAGTGGAGTAGAACAAAGGGCTGAATCTGGAGTCATAAGACACCTCTGTCACTCACTGGCCATATGAGCTTACACCAGCCACAATCATCTTGGGCCTTGATTTATGAAATGAAAGGGTTGAATTGGATGGCCTTGGAGGACTTTTTCCATTGGCTCCTGGGACCCAGTGAAACATCGACCCTAAATACTGAGTCCCAGTGGAGAAATAAATGTAGAAATTATCCAGGGGAAATGGACTAAAACTATTTTAAAATGCCACAGGTCTGTTTATTGAAATGGTCTAAACTGCCCAAACCAAACCAATGACTAAGAGCTTGGTATAGTCTAGAGATCTCACATGTACATAGAATACTAGTAAGCATTATTAAATGCATTTATTCAGGAAGCAGTTATTAAGCACCTAGTATGTTCTAGGCATTGACCCAGTCACTGGGGATACAAATTCAAAAACAAAGTAGAGCCTGACCTCAAGATGCTTACATTCTATTACTTTTATGAGAAAGAACAAAAGGTGATAAATTTTTAAGTGAATATTAGTATATTTAAAGACTATTAGAGAATACTGGGTCTGACCTGTTAATCAATAGTTAAAAACTTTGAAGATGAAATAATTTAGGAAATCATTGTTACAATGTAGATGAACTTCTCAATATTTTATATGGCGACAGGCATCAGCAAGCAACTTATGGGCTTCCTTCATGAATAAATTATTTCTTTGTAAGAATGGAACATAAACTGCACTTGAGTATTAATGGGGATATACATTTCAGTCATTTTAGGGTCATAATTCCTATCTGCATGTTAATCTTAAGATAATTTTCTGCGTGAAAGCAGAAATGTTAGGGAGAAGCTGACCATATAACCCAGTGAGGAAATGAAGGCCCTGAATATTTCACAAAATATTACAGCAAGTGTCTGCCAGGAAGATGAGAAGGTTGATGATGGATTTTTCTCTGTGTATGTCATATTTATAGGGTGATAGAAAAAATGTGTTCACAGGGATGTTCCTAGCTTACTTTAATCATAACTCTATATGCAGAATCTATACTCAGTGTACTCAGTATATTTATATATTCTCTATTTTTAAGGCAGTGGTTTCTTTGACTTAACAGTCAAATGGATTTAAATATATATATGTATATGATGTATCTGATGTCATTTAAAGTAGTTGATGTGTCGGTCATTAGACCAGACATTTGAATGTAAAATCACAAGGAAAAGTAAATTGGAAAGTTGCCGTGTCCATTGCTAAAATGTGTCATAGTGACGTTGTATGTATTTTCTAGGCCATGTCAGCAACCTGTGCTATTTTTTTTTTACTATGATGTAACCATAATGCTTTCTAGTTTGTATTTACTTTTAAAACATAGAAATGCTCAGTGGCCATCAAAACAAGCCTTTTCGACAGATTTCTGATTTTTTCCTCCTTTGGCAGGATTTCTGTTGTGATGTAACATCTGTTTGATTTGCTGTGATAAACAAAATCCATTTGCTGTGCTTGATGTCTTGTGTTTTATTTGTCTTCATTCCACATGCTACCTAGTACGCATTTGTAAACTAAGTTTTTTCATAAGGAAATCAGTAATTGCTTATTTACACATCTATGTTTTTTCTATCTCACCAATATCATCTTCACTGAAAATCATATTAATTTCTTCTTTGGACTTTATGCTGGGCTATGGAACTCAAGCTAACCCAACCCAGACCAACCCCATCCAATCTAATCCACCACAATAGCCATTTTAGTACAACCCAATCCAACCCAATCCAACCTAGTAAGCATTTATTAAGTTTCTTTTATGTGTGGGATACTACACTAGGTGCTAGGCCTACAGAGACAATGTGAGTAGTATCACATGGGACAGATTAGGTCTTATATATACTTTTCTTTATCATTTGTTTTCCTTCACTTCTTGTAAAATTGTGATTTTACTTTGCTAATCTGTATTGGCCTTAGGTTATATTGGAAAATTGTTAGTTTTTATGCTTCACACAATTAGTTTTGGGGATAATCCAATACACTCTAATAAATCCTGGTAATTCCACACAACAGACAACATTTTCACATTATGTGTTTCTGGTATATGCCACCTCATTACTATCATGGTAAATTTGAAATCCCCCTCCTTTTCTTCCTCATTGATCCTTAGATCTATCCACCTTAAAGAAGAATTTAGTGTGCAAAAAAAATTTCAAAATCGTTGATGACCATAAAAAATGTGTCTTTTCTTTTAGCCTGAAACTTTTGAGCATCTTTTTATCAAGTGCACACGAGCAGTCGCATTTGGTCCTTTTCTTCTGGAGCCTGAGCCAGTTTCAGAAGATCTCATTGTGGAAAGTGCATGGAGAAGTGGAGAGGAAAACATGCTACCAGCTCTTGAGCTCTCCTTTTGTGATCCAGAGACTGAGGAGGATTCTGCTTGTCCTGGTGACCACATCACCAGCACTGATCTCACCCAGAGTGGTAGCCATGGGACAGTGTGTGAGCAGAGCAAACAATCTGTGAAGTATGCCATACTTATGAATAACTCTAAGTTGAGCACATTAGATAACAAGCAAAAGAGTCTAAACAACTCATTCAGCAGATGTTTATCGATAAAAAATTCCCTTTTAAAAGGCTCTTTCTCCAGTAGTTCTTGGGAGATAGAGACCCAGGCCATTTTGATATTATCAGATCAACATCCAAGCACAAGACCTTCCCATTTCCCATTCTCAGATGGTTTTTCTGAATTCCCAAATCAAGACAAAAATTTCCCTGAAGAGAACAGTGCCCAGCGGCCTGTTTATTATTTAGGGATCACTTCAACAACCAAGAAAGAAAATGATATTTTTTTGACTGAAACCTCAGGAGTGATGTGTCCTGTCCCTGCCCATGGCTTATTCACAGATGTAGGAGTGCTTCAGGACAGTTGTTCAGGCTTACATCCCTTTGTAGAAACAAACCTCAACTTGGGGACCTCTGTTAGGAAGACGTTTGTTTCTTACATGCCACAATTTCAGACCTGTTCTACCACAATGCAGAAGATAACGGAAAACATGATGTGTGACCTAACCATGTAACATCATTATTCTTGACCCCCCATTGCTTGCTGCTATAATGGTTTCTCTGAAAATGTTGGCTTCACCAGATTAGTGACCTCATCACTGTGGAGGTGACATTCTCCTGTGTGGTTCCCAACCCATGTCACTCTTTGTCATCCTGTGAGATTGTTGCCAATGTCCTCCTATGCCTACTCCCTAGAAGATCTGCTCAATATGCCGGAGGTGTCCTCTTGATCTGTTTACATTCTGTGACCACCAATGTAGCTCTCTTCCATTGCTCTTACTACATGTTTGCTCCACCCCATGTTCTAAATATGTATTTCCTGCATGAATTCTTCTATGTGCCTTCTTGCATGCAGATAAATTCTGCAGCATACTCACTCCCATACTCTCCATTGCTTTTTGGGTCACCTACAACTTTGACACTTTGGAGATTGTACTGTTCCCAGATTTAAAGATAAAAATGTAATAAATTCCAAGATCTTTAGAGAAGAGGAAGAAAGAAGAACTCAAAGTTTTCTACACTTGAAGATATTTCCCCACTAAATTAAATGTCTGAACTGGAAGATACTAAATAAAAAGTACAGTAGAGTCAAAAGAGGACTCTGTAATCAGAGGACCTGGGTTCAAATCCTTTCTATGATCCTAAGAATCTGTGAGATTTTGGGCAAGTCATTTAATATCCTTGGTCTTCAGTTTCCTCATCTGTAAATGGGGTTTGATCAGATGATTTCTGAGTTCCCTTATATCTCTAAATCTATGATTTTATAAATACATCTTACAATGACAAGGAAAAAGAGAAAATGTACAAAGCTATACTGTGATATACAAGTGTTGTCATGATACAATTCACAAATCATGATGCCAGCAACCCTGCAAGTTTTGCTCTTCTTGAAAATAGACTCAAGAATTTTTTTTGGTGGAAAGTGTTCACCACCAACTCTACTTCTATACATGCTTCTGAAAGACAGTATTGGATGGGCAACACATGTGAGATGAACCTATTATTTTTCTCTCTTGTGGTACCTGCATTAATATCTATCGAGTCCAATCCTTGTAACTCTCTTTGTGAATTTATAACAGTGTGTGAAGTTCTGTGACATTGGGAACCAAATCTAGTCTTTAGTGCAGTAGAATGATGCCACTTACTTACTAGAATGACAGTACCTGAAAACATTTCCCATATGTTAACCCTTCCTTATCCTACCTAGGGAAGCAAGCACAGGCTTTGATGTGTGAGGATGCAGGTTGTCCAAATTTTACTTCTAATGCTTGTTACCTGTGCAACCACAGAGAAGCCATTTAACTTCCCCGGACCTTAGTTTTTTTTTTTTCAGATGTATAATGAGAGAATTGGACTCAGACCTCTGTAGGTCCTTCTAGCTCTTGATTTTGTGATCTTATGATCCATGATCTTATGAGCCTACCTACAGAATACAGTGGCAAAGGAATCAGTGCATCATTGTTTCCAGCTTGTGGTTTTGAACTGTATATTATTTCACAGAATTTTAGACATTGCTTGAGTACTCAGCACAGCAGACTTAGGTTTGAGTTGCCTCTGCATTGCTTATTCATCACAAAAACTTGAACAATCCATTTAAATTAATTTGTTTTAATTTTTAGCATGAATGTTGTGTGGTGGAGAGAGCATATATGGATTCTGTGCTCTGGACTTGGCTTAGTCATTGACTTCCTACCTGTCTCTGGTAAAATTTACAGAATGTAGAAATTGAAATGATCTCTAAGGACTTTTCCAGCTCACAGAATGATCCTTTGTATTCTAATAAAAAATTAACCAGGGCAAAGGATTTCAAGCTGTGAGATATGGACACTTGAGAGATCATCTAAGGCTAGCCCCCATATTTTATAGAAGAGGAAGCTGAGGCCCAGGGAGGTGAAGTGATTTGTCTGAGGCCACATAGCCAATAAGTAGCCTGGCCTTATTTTCCACCATCAGAAGATGTTTCTTGATTGTCCATTTGAATGTGATACAGTACCAGAGCCTGCATGAAAAATCATTTCATAGGCATGGTTCTAAGACTCACGTTAATTGATAATATAAAGAAAAACCTGGAGTCTGTAACATGGCATTTGAAGTTGAAACAAACATACCCAGTTGGACAAAAAATGGCTTATTTGAAGAAAGCTACTGATTGATTACTAAGACACTCCAAATCAGAAGCCTTTGGGCTTCGATGAAATCTTTTCACCTATCTCTAAACCCTGCCACAATTTCTTCCTTGTCTCTAGGAGGAAAAGAATTCTGGAGATGGATGTAGTCTTGTATCATGAGCAACCAAGGCAGGACTTTGCATGAGGTAGAACAATATGAGCGGGGCACCATTTTCTAGGAATGCTTAGCTAGAAGTAATGGCAAGGTGTCTGGAGCTCAGTGACTACTCACACAATCACGGTATTTAATCCATCAGTCAAACAACAAACATTTATTGAGTGTGTACTATATACCAGGCATTTGATGCTCAGATATCTGGCAGGTACAGGGGGAAGACTTCTGGATCCAGAGTCAGAGGACTTTGACTTGAATTCCTGCTCTGCTACTAATTGCCTGTGTGAACTTGGGCAAGTCATTTTCTCTCCATGGTCCTTAGTTTACATATCTGTAAAACTGGGGGGCTAGACAAGATGAGGTCTCAAGCTCCTTTTTAGCCTTAAATCTATGATCTGTGGGACTGTTTCTCAATAGTGCAATTGTTGGGAACATGGATGAGGATTTCCCAGATTTGATCGACTATTGTCACTATCTACAAGAGTGTGATTCTAAACATGGCCACATGAATCCACTGGCAACACACCATGCATCTGATGCTCAGGGTGGGGTGGTGGCTACAGCAAGAGACATCAAAGAAGGTTTTGTGCTCCCATTTTTCTTTTTTCTGTGATAAGCAAAAAGGAATGGAACCCTTGTATGAGACTTTCCATTAATCGATCATCTTCCCATTCAAAATGCAATTTCAGAATAGAGGTATACAGTAAAGAATATGAAAGAAACATAGGAAATCAGGTGGTTTCTCCCATAACCTTTTAATGATGGATCATTTAATTGTGTTTGGCTTCTTATGGTATCTAATCAGAATCTGTAAACAACCCTCTCCTTAATGAGTGTCTAAGTTCACAAGCTCTGGATGTGTTAACAGCTGAGAAATTATGAATAGTCCCTGTTTGGCCCAAAAGCCATGGGAATTTGTATTTAAATGAGACATGCCATGTTTACCTTCATGCTGAAAGCAAAGGAAAACTCTCCCATTGGTCTAATAAAACTGTTTCCACAAATGGGTAAAAGGATGAATTCAACAAAAAAGACTACAAGGTGCTGGTCTTTGTGTCTTTGGTATACCTGATCTGCTGTTGAAAGTCAGAGGACCTGGGCTCAAATTGCAGGCCCAGCATTGTTCCACTGCTCCATGGTGCCTCTAGGTCCCCTGTGGTGGACTTACCCTCACTGGAGGCCAGGGCCAGAGGAGTAGTCATTGGATATGTTGCAGAGGGGATGCTTGTTCAGGTATGGAAGGGACCAAATGTCCTCTGAAGTCTCCACTATTCCCAAAATTCTGTAATTCTGTCATATACATACATACATTACATATAGGAAAGTATAATTAAGGATAAATAAAGCCATGGCCACTTTCTTCTATAATTTGGGACCCAGAGGAACAGAAATGAATTGCTGGTGGATGCTTCTAAGGGCAGTGCCCATGACTTTACCAGACTGTGCGAGTCAAACTTCTTTCACCTGGGCCATATCTAGGTGATGTTTTTGTGATATCCCCAGAATAACCCTAGTACCAGTTGTACCCCATCACTGCCAGGCTGGGTGGGAGGCTCTTCTAAGTCACTCTGGGGTGTCTTGCCATTAGATGGTCAGGCCCTGAGGATGGGAGAGGAAAGTTCTTCAGGGTCAAGGAAATTCCAGAGGGCCTTCTGTGGGGAGATGTTATATTGTTCCAATTCAATCAAGTGATATGTTAAGTCAACAAGCATTTATTAAGTGTGATAGGTTCTTTACTAAGTGCCAGAGATATAAGGAAAAGGAGAGAAATAATTCTTATTCTCAAGGAGCCCACAATCTAGTGATTGAGCCAACATGCAAACAACTACATACAAACAAACTAGACAGTATAAATTGGCGATAAACAACAGATAGAAGGCACACACATTTAAAGGGGATCAAGGAAGGCTCTTTTTTTCTTTAAAAGATAGGACTTTAGTTAAGGTTTGAAGGAAGCCAGAGAATCCAGGAGGTGGAAATGAAGAGGAAGGGAGTTCTCAGCATGGGGGATGGCCAGAGAAGATGCTCCAAGTTAGGAGATGGAGTCTTGTTCCAATAATTGTGAGGAGGTCAGTGTCACTGCCTCAAAGAGTTCATGGAAGGGAATGAAAAGGTAAGAAAGGATCAGGTTGTGAAGGCTTTAAAAGCCAAACAGAGGGTTTTATATTAGATCTTCGAGGCAATAGGGAACCACTGAAATTTGTTGAATAAGGAGACAGCCAGGTCAGACCTAAGCTTTAGGAAGATAAGCTTGACAGTTGAATGGTGGATGGACTGGAGTGGGAGAGATGCAGTAGAAAGACCAACAGGGACATATAACTGCACAGATGTCCCACTTCTATGTGTCAATCCCAATATTCAACAACTATTTGTTGTTTGCTGTGTGTCACCCACAGTGCTAGGCATGGAACATACAAAGCGGAAAAATAATCCATGCCTTCCTGAGCTTATTTACATTCTATTGGGTGGGATGTAACAGATCAATTGAAGGTAATTTAAAAAGATGAAACTTTAATGACTGGTAGGATCAGGAAAGGCTCTGGGCATGGAGAGATACTTGAGCTGAGACTTGAAGAAAGCTCAGGAATGTGAGAGACAGAGGTGTGGAAGGAATGGATTGCATTCATGGGAAGGGGGGGGTGTACATAATGAAGACACAGACATAGATACCAACTTCAAGAAATAACTAGAGAGCCAGTTCAACTGGAGCCAAGAATACACCAAGAAGAGT